ACACACAGCTGCAAAGGTCCAGGGAAGAAGAGATAGTTGGCTGGTAGGATTCTCTCTACACACCTGCAGTTTTTGAGCGAAGGCAGTGGGGTTGGTCTCTGCCAGATCAGGCTCCAGGTAGCTGAGAGGGGCAGGTGAATCAGACAGTCTGTCTAAGAGGGGTAGATCTGAGGGATCCATGGGGCCCTGGATGGGGGACTGCGATGGGACCGAGAGCAGAAGAGGGACAAGAGGAGTAGGAGGTGTCTGGGTGTCAGTGAGGCAGGGCAAGCTTGTATTTAGCCTAGTGCATCATAACACTTCAATGATGGATTTATGAAGCTTATGAATAAACATTCTGCGGTACTGATTCTGGTGGGGAGACCCTGAGTAAGCTGCATGCCTAGCAAAATAATTGTCTTAAAGGGAGAGTTCACTCAAAAAAACAAAAAAAATCTGTCATTATTTACTATGATTATAATTTGGAAACAGACAGTTATATAGAAAAAAGGAGTGTACAGTACATTGGTCAAAATGACTCCTTTCATGTTAAACTGAAATAATATGCAGCATATGTTTTTGAAATAACATGGGGGTGAGTAAATAATGACAGAATTTATTTATTTATTTAGGATGCACTGTCGCTTTAAGACTGAAAACAAAAATGTGTAGCATTGTAAATGCATCAGATAAGCTGTGCAATTAGTAACAAAATAAAAATAACCCCATCTTCACACATTTGTGGTGTTTTATTGTATTTTGACTGTACGAGCTCCACATTATCTGAGATAATGAAATAAATACACCCTTAAAGGTGCTGATACTTTTGGGGTTTGACTGGTTTGCACTTACCGCTCCATCTCTCTCATTGCTCTGCGTTCGACTCTGAGGCTGGCTGTCTCTCTTTCTGCTTTTTTCTGAGGCCAAGGAGTTACGAGCACCACGTGGTGGCAGCACAGGTGATTTCCCCTGCGAGATCTGAGCCTCCATCTCCTCAAAGCTCCTGTGAAGAATCAGACCAACACAATTAAACACATGGAATACATCGCCAAAGTACAGTAAATAATTTTTAAAGAGCCCATGAGAATCATGGAGAATCACTGTCCTAGGTCCTCTGCTATTTTCAATATACATGTTGCCCCTTGGTAATATTGTTAGAAAACACGGGATTAGTTTCCACTGTTATGCTGATGATACTCAATTATATATCTCAACAAGACCAGACGAAACTTCTAAATTATCTAAGCTAACCATTTTTCTGTTTCTGCTGGGATTGACATCCTGTGGTAACTAGGATTTACACAAGCTTCAGTCTGGATCCAGAACACCTGAGAAGAGATGATGCCAAGCCCTCAGAGGACCCTGAAGCAACATATAGAACTACCACATTTTGCTATAAGTTTGATTGCATCATATAATAATTGCTGTTAATAGTGTTCATCGTCTGTTTGATTACGTCTTTAATTGATTTTTCCATACATTTCTGCCATATGTACATTAACTGACAGTCACCACTGATAAGCTACCACTAAATATTGTAGAAACTTAATTTGCTGTAAAGTTGCTTTGCAACGATTTGTATCGTGAAAAGCGCTATACAAATAAACTTGAAATGAATTGAATTGAATGAGAATCTAATTCTATGGCTTTCAGTCTGAGTCAATCTATATGATACCTTCTCAGAAAAAAAGGTACAATGCTGTCAACTGGGATGGTACCCTAATGCAGAGAAGCTAAAAGGCACATTTTTGTAACTTATTCACCTCTAAATGATTCATATTAATACATTAAAGGCACATATTGATACTTTAAATAAAAGAACATTATCATAGCTTTTGAAAGGGTACCACCCCAGTGACAGTTTTGTACCTTTTTTTCTGAGAGTGTGGTGTACAAAATCCACCTTTAGCAAATATATTCCTTTAACATAATCTTCATGGTTTTACAGTTGCTCAGTAGCTGACTAAACGGAAATGACTTTTTGTCAACATAACGGAGCAGTTATGTCGTCTAGCAGCAGGTACTAACTGACAGACAGACTTCCTGTTTAAACACAAAATATTTCCACACAGACTACTACTACTACTCTTATTAAGTAATTTCATTGCATTTTTAAGCAATATATGATATATGTCACATATAATATTATATGATTATACAGTATGTATATGTGTGTGTGTGTGTGTGTGTGTGTGTGTGTGTGTGCATTTAGTTTACCCAGTGCAGGGAGAGTTGGGCTCTGAATCTTGCATGTTGGAAGTCTTTGTTGGACTGTCTGTCACAGAGTCCAGCTTTAGATAAAGTGACGGTTTCTTCACCGAGAGAGGCTGTAAAAAACATACATGTATTCAGAAAAAACAAAGCACTGTAATTTAAAATTAGTTTGGTGTTTGTCACACACACACTCGCATTTTTTTTTAGAAAATTTCCCTAAGTTTAGATACTCACAGGTGCGGAGGAGCCAATCTTTTCCATGTATTCAATCTCATAGTCTGTAACTGCAGAAAGGACAATAGAGAAAATGAGAGAAGATATAACAGGTTAAATGTTTTATAAAGGTTATATAGGAATTCAAAATAATATAAGGCTTTCAAAGAATATTCTTTCTATGCTGATCATCGGTTCAGACTGACAGAACCAATATGAGAGTGGCACTATAATTCATCTGCCTCTGTACTACTGACCCAGTTAGTTTCAGGCAGAAACTGCCCTAGGGCGCACGTGGTTCCCTGAAGGTCAAAGGCTAATAAAACGGGTCAGCTTTGGGTCATTTGGGGTTGTAGGCAAACTTGTATCATGTGGGAAATGATCTGATGGGTGAACCTCACAAAACCATTTTACCCCAAAATCAACAGGAAAAAAAAAAAGTTTTTATTTTTAGGACCATTTCTCTTATTTTGGACAGAAAAATCAAGGCTCGTGATTAGAGATAATGTAGTAACATAATAAGAGACTCCTCCACTCTCTCACCATCACTCTGTGCTGGTAAACTGTTCTCATTGACAAAAGCTGTAAAGTCAGTCGGCTGTGGGAGATCTTGGGGGTCAGAGGTCAGTTCCACCTCTATGTCATGTCTAGTCCAATTCTGATTGGTGGAGGAAGCCAGTTTCTCCTCATCTGTGGCGTGATCTTGTGAAGGCTCGGGATTGGCATCAGGCGAGTGCTCCTGCAGGTGATTATGTGTGTGTGAAGTGGAGGGCGAGAGCGGAGAGCACACAGGACAACACTGTTATGATATGAGGTGACAGCGAAGGAGAAAAACAGATCATCTTCACAATGAACATCTGCAGTGACTGTGTGAGTGTAGGTGAATGTACGCTCACGTCTTAACTTACTTGAGCAGATGGCTCAGTAATCTGAGTCCTCTTTGGTGATTTCTTCACTCTAAAAGTGTTACTGTTTAAGAAAACATGACAGAGATTTGTGGTTACTTCTTAAAATATCAATGTAGAACAAAAGACAACATCCAACCATTCTTTTTGTCCAACCATATTTACAATACACAGCAGTTTCTTGACAGATTCTGTACAGATAATGTTCTACTGAATAAATAAAAGTTTTAGTTAAATAATACATACCTGTTTTGTTGTTCTGATAAAGGTATTAAAGAACCTTTTGACAATGCAAATATATTGTAATTCTTACAGTAAATGATGGATCTTATTATTAAGGATTAAATCTCATGAGTTAAGATCTTACTAGTGTGCAATATAATGGATTATTCAGGGTTTACATCATGATTGATGCTTCTATTAGTGGGAAATATCAAATATACAGTATGTTTTTCAGTTTGTAGTTTTCTTGTGCAAATGTGTTTTTTTATTGTAAACATACTTTTTTGCTAATGCAGTCTTTACGAATGGAACCATGGCAAGAAATTAAGACCAACAGATACTAGAGATTATTTGGAAATATGTTTCGCAAGAGTATGGTGATTATGCAGTAAAGATTTGTGGTTTAGAAAATAAAAACAAAAATATCCTTAATACTCCACAGTCTCTGCCCTGACCCAGTTCGTTTTAATCCCTATAGCCCCTGTTAAATTGCTCAGTGACAGATGCCTCACATAACAGAAGCATTTCAAATCCTATTCTGTTGCTGTTGTTGGCACATTTCATAGTTTAAGTGTGATGTAAATATTTCAGAAGTACTGCTTTACTCCTCATGTCAAATCTGAACAGACATTTGTGTTGAAAAAAATAACATTGAAAACCTTGAATTGTGTGAGAACTATAGAGGAAAGTTTGCAGCTGAGCAAAATATATTAAATGGATTAATCTGAAACTGAAGCAAATGATCCAGTACAAAGTAATCCCAGTTTGAAAGTAATATTACTTAAAACTGCTCCTTAATAGCTGTATTAATGAATCAGGGTGTGCAGGGGGTCTTAGAGAGGGAAAATAGTGTCTTGCTCATAGGCACAATAAAAATTCCCTTGTCAACATTCCAGGTCACAGTTTCTGCTTTCTAGCAATAAAACCTGCAATGTTTATTATCCACTAGGCCACCCTAAGGAGGTAAGATTTCTGAAATGAGTCTCATAAAAATGTCTGGATTAGGAATTCATTCAGAGATTTTAGAGATAAACTATCGATCTTCACGTCTAATTCATTGAAAAAAGCATAGTCAACAAAGCTCAACTTGGATCACATGCACATAGTAATGCAATCATACAATGTTTTCTTGCCTAAAGTTTGTACCCCTGTGTGCATTTGCATGACTGAATCGACTGCACTTGTTTGAGGGTCCACTAGATGGCAACACATTCTCATCGGAGAATATCAAACGTGAAGATGGAGGTGACGTGGAATGATGTGATGAGAAATCAGTCATATGTATTAAATAGAATGATAAAACAACTGACAATGAGCTCATGAGTTAAAACATGTTAAAGTGACATTTTATGTTAAGCTATATTATTACTGATGCTGATTTTTCCACCATCTCTCTACTTACAAGAAACAACACAGAGAAGAGACATTGCTGGACTTCCTGTGGTACATGAGATCAACAGACATGTGACAGAGGCTGACAAACAAGAACTAACACCCACTTACATACACACATGTATCTGACCATTTAGAAATATACACAAGAAAATGTACAACAATTAGAAACCATGCACTACAATGGATGACCGGCACGATGATGTACTTTGAAATTAAATGAAATCAGACTTACGATTTGAGAGGCTTCTTCTTGTTTTTGGCAGGTTTGTTCTGGTTGTGATCCTCCAACTCAACAATGTTATCATTGTCATTCTCGGTGTCGTTGGATTTGTCAAAGGTTGCAGCTTTTGGAGGTGAGTTTCCCATCTTATTGGATGAGTTGAAGGGATCGATTGAGCCATCAAAGGAGCCAGGATCAAAGTTGTAAGATCCACTAGACAGGCGAGGAGAGTTGGGGACACCAGTGTTTGAAGAAAATGGATTAAAGTTAGGGTCATCCCACTTGTTGGGATCAAAGTTATATAACCCCTTGGGGATCGGGATATCATCAATGTCATTTGAAAGTGCAGGGACAGGTGCATTGTCTAGCTGCTCTGTCTGTGGTGGAGGGGCCTTCTTAATCCCCAGTTTGGGCTTTCGGATAGGCATCTTGGCCCCTGGTTTCTTGCCTAGGTTTTTAGGAGGAGGAGTATTGCGTGGTGCCTCTCCACTGTCCTCTGAATAGTCAAACTCCAGTCTGACTGGTTGGCGCTTGGTGATTGGCTGTTCCTCAATGTTGATGGGTTGCTCTTTAGCAGGGGAAGAGGCACGAGGCTCCTCTACAGCAACAGGAGTGTCTGAAACCGATGTAAAGTCGGCTTTCCTGCCCAAGACCGGCGAGTTGGCAACTTTACTGCCTCCTGTACGGAATGGGTCAATATTCTCAAAGTTGTCCGGATCCCATTTGTAGGAGGCACTGGGAGGGATAGGAGACTCCTCGTCGGGGACAGTTGGAGCCTCGGGTACTGGATCAGGAAGAACCAGTTGGAGTTGAGTTGATATTGAGCTGGCAGTGACCTCCTCAACCAAAGGTGGAGGACTTTCAACTTGAGACTTTATCCTATTCCTCCGTAGGGTACCAGCAGGACTAGGACTAGGGCTGGGAGAGGAGCTAGGCCTCTCTTGAGTTTGCAAGGGGCTTTCAGGCTGTGGTTTACCTCTCTTTTTCTCCTCTGGTGTGCTATTAGAGGAGACTGTTTTGGGAGAGGTATGCTCTGGGTTTGAGTTCTGCCGGGAAAGAGGTTTCTTCTTTAGGGAACCTGGACGTGGCTTCTTCACTTTACGAAGAGTTCCCGGAGCACTTTCTGTTCCTATGCTGAAGGACTCTGCTCGTGGGTGAATGGGTTTGTCGGAGGTTCCTCCCGAGGATTTGTCTCCTGGGCTCTCTAACTCACCAGACTGTAGGCTTAGAGAGCGGGTGAGAGGCGCTCGACTTGATGGTCCGGGGTCATCAGCAATTAAGTATTCTAGGTTGTAGGTGCCACTAGCAGCTATTGGTTTGTCCTCATCAAAGACTGTAGATTGAGAGCGACTGGGAGATTTAAGCTGATTTGGGTCTTGAGCTTCGCTGGCAGAGATGTCAGCAGTGGAAGCTGTGAAGATAGAGAATAACATGTTACTATGCATTTGAAAACAAATCATGCTTTCAAGCAAATCACAGGATAGTACTCACAGATGAATTGATATTATTTTATGTTAATAACAACTGAAGAACTGAAGAAGGATAGAGTGCAAAAAGTACTAGTATCTTGTGTTAGTTTTGATTTATTTCTAGATCTTTCTTGAAAAAAACTCAGTAGCAATACACTGTATATCCACTAGAGGGAGTACAAGTGCAGTGTTTGATAACAAAGACCACAGTACTCCTGTCTGAGAATAATGGAAGTGAAAAGGCAGCCCTTTCTTGTTTTTTTTTTTTCTAACAAGAATACTGGTTAAAAAAAAATACATGAGGAGAAACAAAACTATTGAATAAAGATTTTAATTAGACCTCAACCTAGACCTAGAAGCACAAACTGACATCTAACCTTTGCATATACCATAGGCATATAACATAGATACTTTGATACTAAATAACTAGATATAGCTACTTAGTTTTCCATAACATTTCCTGGGTTTCAGAGTTAAAAATAGTTAATGGTAAATTCTGTTTTCAGGTTTAGTGTTTACTGTTGCTCTGTGCTATCTGCTATAGCATGCACTTACTATTTATTGTCATTTAATATACGGTCCATTTTTTACTTTATATTAAATATTACAAAATTTGCTCAAAACAAGACACAGTGTCACTATTTGTCAATGTCCTATAATCTTAAGCATTTCAAAGTCCAGTAAACCCTCCTGAAGCTATTCAAATGATAAATAAAACAATTTGACTCCACATAAGGCCATCTGTGTGTGAATTGCGATGGAATGGAGATCTAAACGTACCTGTGTGTTCTTGGGACAATGCCTCTGAGTTGGTGCAGGGGGGCTCTGTTGGGGGCACTGGTGGGGAAGCAGACTTCACAGGGCTGGTGGACTCAGGGGTTTCGAACGCTCCGTCTGAGTCTGAACTCCTGCAGAAGAAACAGTGAGACAGAAGAAGGTCTGAATATATTGAATTAAGAGTTGATTGAATAATCTCATTGAAGTATAAACATCAAGTCTGTTTTGTTTCCATACAACCAAGCTGCATATCAAATCCAGTGCTGATACAGCAAACAACAACATCCATTTATGAGGCAACACATCACAGCTCATATTTACACTACAGGATCAAATAAATTCAGATACACCTTAAGTATATTAAACAATAATTCATCGTGTGCCAGACCTTATAAACAAATGCCTGCATCAGCCTAGTAGGCCCTGGTGGATTATTACAGATGGAAATTAAAGCACTGAACCTGCAGCTAGCTCAAACACATATTATGCTCAGCCATGGAGTCTATTTTTTTAACTACCGAGTATCACAGTGACAGTGCTATTTTCACACATTAACACATTTGTCATTTCAGTCAAGACTGATGATGCCCATTTTGCTTTTTAAGTCAATACAACAAAATGTCGGTTTGTGAAAATTTTTCAGTCTTGGCATCAGCATATACTGTCATACACAAATCTGACACAATATGTGATAGCGCAGGCGAACATACAGCACCAGTCCAAATACAGCAACAAAGGCGCAGCCTCAGACAGATGTGCAGACCCCCACCCAGTCTCACTGCATTAGTCCCTGTCCTTTCTCTGCTGTTATCCCACGCTCACCTCTGCCTGCCTTGGATCATGTAATCATGCCTGGAGGTCCAGCTGAGGCGCCGGAGGAGCCCTAGGGCTGGGTCTGCCCCATCCTCTCCAGATGTCCCTCCCAGCAGTGTGTCCCAGCCCCAGCGAGCCCACTGCAGCGGAGACAGAGCCTGCCACGCACTCACTGCCATATCTGCCACTGATCACAGCCTCACGGTCACTCATACACCTTTTCCCTATTCCCAATGGCAATTCCTGAAAATCTGAAGCTTTGATTCTGTCCCTTTGTGTGCTACGTCCCCTTCTCTCCATCCCTCCCTCTTTTTCAATATCGTACGTTCTCTCTCTCTTCGATCTATCGCTGAAGGTGGGCTTTATCCAAATGAAACCCATTGCAGATACTCGCCACTTGCAGACTCACTGCTTGGCTCTCTCTCTCCCTTTAACACATCCTCAGGCACATTTCCCTCCCCCACGGTGAGGACAGAAGTAGACTTCCCACTCGGGCTGCTGTAATGTAAAGAAAATCTGTTTATATATATATATAATCAATTTTTTTTTTTCCATTATTCCTCCATCTTATTTATTTATTTCTCTCCATCTGAGCTGAAATACCCAGCCGTATTGCAAGTATAGAACAAAACAGGATTTTTATGGTAATTCCATCATGGTTTTCTTCATTTGAACTCATGTTTTCACTATTAGTATCTACAGCAAGGACTTGGCTGGAGTCATATGCTCAGTTTTGCTGCATCAAACTCTGATGAATGTACTGATGCTTTCAGTGCAGTGAACACACCCATTCCCTCCTAAAAAAACCTGCATGTGTTTTGGATGCTAGCCCTCAGCATGGGATGCTAACCAGGCATCTTAACCAGCAACACAATCTAGACCAGGAAAAAATCAGCATAAACCAGCCATCTGGTGTCTTCCGTAGAAATGAATGAATCAAATTTGATTAAAGTATTCTTTAATCTAGACCTGAATAATTTACACAAAAATTAAATTTTTACCGTAGCTTTGAAAATGTTTTTGTAAGGGTCCTGTCTGTCTTTTGTCTACATGATAAAAGTAATTGTGAGTGAACCTGCTGTAACACAAGACAAATTTCAGACTTTGTCTGACAATAAAGTTGTATCGTATTGTATCGTATGATTCTGTATCTGAATAGTGTACACTTTCAAACATGAGTCACATTTGTCAGCATGTCAAAATGGTAGTGGTCTTCCAATGGTGCCAAGTCAAATGTTTACAGTCAATCAACAGTTAATTAATTTAAATACTGTACCTACAGTGTATTTAAAAAAACAGATGCCAAAAATGACATATGCCTGCTAATGTGACGACTGACATGAAATACCCAGCAGTTTATTAGCAAAATAAGAGATTTTCTCTTCATTGCACTGCTAACCTCAGCAGAATGAATGGAAGGAAGTACTCAATATGTTTCCTGACAAACACATACAAAGCTCATACATGCTTGCTGATTGTATAATTTTATTTAAAATACTTAAATGCACGCTAAATGGCAAAAGCCCCTCTGCACTGCATCAACTACTCTATGAGAAATTAGTAATAATGGCTTTTCATTAAAGGTGTAAGTGGATATACTGGGAATGAATGAATGAGAGGTTACAATAATCAATAAGTAAAGGTAAAACCCAAAATCATTGGGATACAATGCTCTAATTTGATGCAGGTAGAGAATTAGAGCAATACAAACAGTATGCTTCTTACAAGTGCTGCGATATATACAGATGGCAAGGAGTGAATTTCAAAAGACTTCCAGTCTAATTTTACAGCTTTCAGTGTGTTAATGACATTGGGTGAGATAATTATCAGTTGACGAGCGTTTCAGCCCATACAATGATGTTTTCACAAATCTGGCAAGCACACTGTTGCCATGGTGACAGTGCTCTCTAGACATATGCTCCCATGTGCTAGACAACGCACACACTGGCAACGTGCACAAAATCCTGACCGAAGCCTCATATTTCCTTCTCTTTCACATAGATCCACATATGCACAGGAAGTCTATTATCACATATAAAAACCCATTTATTCTGTGGTATGGGAAAATAAAATGCTGATTTATTTCTGAAAAGTCTGCAGAGGAAATTAGGTGGAACGCTGTATCATCAAGCTTATGTTTCTCTCGGGGGTTTTAAAAAACTAAGAATGGGTTTTCCACATCCTAGTCTTTTATATTTGAAACTCTCCTCTAGATGGTGGAAAAAAATATATAATGCATCTCTGTTATTTTAATCTTATTGAACATTTTTTATTAATGCTACTGAGACAGGGGTAATTGCAAATTCCAGCTGTAATTTTAAAATGCAGTAAATGAAATAATCAGCATAAGAATCTGCAGATGCAAAATATCTAGTAAACAAGTAAACATCTGCAATAAATGAGTTGTAACATAATGTGAAAAGCTAAAGGAGACAGAAGACATGAGGGACTTTTAGGTAAATTCGTCTGCATGGAGACAGCCAGGCTTGTCTGGCACAGAACAGCACTGCTGGGTTCCAGCCACAGACACTGCTGTGAGCGTGAGACAACCCACAATGCTGTTCAAACAAAGCTAACCTGAACCGAAAGGACAGCTAATAGTCTGTCAGAGAGGAGAGTGATTAAGAAACAGATCTATAATCACATCTGCTAATAATGGTGTTAACATATCACTAACACAATACTCCAGCAGATCATATTATGTGCATCTTCTAACATTCTAATTGTAAGCATAACTGAACTTGAAAAAAAGAAAAAAGCGTCTTGGTAAAAAAATAAATAAATAAATAGTTGTGATTTGCTTATTTTTATGCCAGAGGGTACAGTGTGTACTAGAGATTGAAGTAATAATGGCAGCGGTTGACCAGTAGAGGGAGACAAAAGCTGTGCTCCAACTGGAATTCTAGCATACGACCAACTGGTGTGTGCATGTTATACTATGGCAATTGTAAATATTATGCTAATATTCTATTTCAAACATAGGCCCAGTTTTCCAATCCTAAATTAGAAGTTAACTTGAAGTTTACCTAAAGTAAACTTGAATACATTTTTTCATCCAAAATCAGGAGAGAATATACACATATCTCAAAATTACCAATGGCTATCACAGTGTTTTATGAGGTAATCATTCCTTTTGGCAGCTTTATACCTAGAATTTATTCAACACTTTATTCATCTCTATATAAACTGATTAAACAGTTAAATCACAGAGATATAGAGGCATAATTCCAGGCAGCTCAAGTTGAAGTTACTCTAGTGTGCAATGAACTTTCCCAATCTTGATCATCAATGATTCAGTTCCACATAAGATGTGATGCAAACATCATGCTAACTATATAACAAGTTAATTAGTAATAATAAAATTTCAAGTCAGAAATCTTGCAGTACCACAAAACGGTGCATATAAACAGGACCAAGGTTCCTCAGCAAAGAACTGCTTCCTCTCTGGAGGGATGCAGCAATATTCCAGCTTTCACCACCAGAACTATCAAATAATTCAGGCATACTCTCAATATTTTGTGTGTGCTAGATCTCCTGCAGCACTGAGCTTATTTAATAGTCTCAGAGGCTTTAAGGAGTGATGGAAGACAAGGAGAGAGTATAGCTGGTCATATGCATCACCAAACCGGACATCTCAAAGCTGATTCACCACATGTTGATCTTTTTATCACTAGGTTGTCAAAAGAGATAGTGGATGTCTTATGGACTCATGGTGACATCACACAGTGAGAATACCGTTGAAACAAAAGGACACATGATCGCTGGATGCCCCTATGTCAGCCCTATTGTAACATGTCATGATACTGCATGAATACCAGAATGGTCCTCACAGCACAATAGCATCTCCAGATAACCTGGAAGTCACAGAAGTGGTGGTTGGCCAATAGTAGGCTGCATGCCCAAATATGTTTGTGCAAGTCAAACAGTTGAAAAGTTGAAAGAAAGTGCAGGTCATATGATTACAGCCTTCAGAGTTGAATGCTTAGCAGTGCATCAAATCTCCTGCAGTCTAGATGTTTCCCAGTAGATCTGAATGTCAGTGCTCATGATATGGCATCAGTATTCTGAAGTGGGTAAGGGGAATATAAATATAGAGCTTTTCATTATCCAATCCTAAATTAGAAGTTAACTTGAAGTTTACCTAAAGTAAACTTGAATACATTTTTTCATCCAAAATCAGGAGAGAATATACACATATCTCAAAATTACCAATGGCTATCACAGTGTTTTATGAGGTAATCATTCCTTTTGGCAGCTTTATACCTAGAATTTATTCAACACTTTATTCATCTCTATATAAACTGATTAAACAGTTAAA